AATATTTGAGTATTATCTGTTTATTTTCTTAATTGTTATAATTTAATGAATTAAGAATAAAATGAGCGTCAAAATTAAAATGTGAGATAAGCGCGATATTTTTGCATGAAGATGTAGTGGTTGAAACAAGGATTCCGGAGATATAAGGAATGCCGAAATCCGAGTTAAAACAAAGAAATTACGACCTGCCGAAGTTTCGCGACAAAACCGACAACGCTGAATGACGTAAAAAGTGAAATTTACGTTAGAGCAATATTTAGCCTTAGTGATCTAAACGAAAGTCGTAGAGTTCGTTAAACCGAGAGGAAGTTATGATTTTTCTAAGTTTCGACTTAGCAGTATGCAATCCGAATACTCGATTTGAGACCGAGCGGTTTTCAGCCGAAACAATCTAAACGAGAATTGAAGATCTCATTAATAGTAGTGAAACGATAAAAAGATAGGCGAAAACGGACGTCGGATGAAGAAGTTATGAATTTATAACGGAGTTTTCCTGTCCCGGCCTACTAAAAATAAATAATAAAAAAAAGTCAAATTTAGCCGACGGAGTCTAAATGAAAGTTGTAGAGCGTAGTCTCACCTACGCGGGGATATAAAGAACGTCGAAGACGGAATTCGTATGAGGAAGATATGATTTTTTTGAAGTTTATTAAATAATTTCGATATTAAATTTAATTATAAAATATCCGATATTATCCAAAAGGGGGAGGGAGTCAACAACGTTATCCGGGTTACGCCCAGCGTACCTGGATTTACACCCAATGTAAATCGAGGATCCAGCCCCCTATAAAAGGAAGTCGAGGCTGTCGAGTTTCAGTTGCTATTTTCTTTCCTTCTCTCGCGTTTTTACCTCGTTTTTCGTGCAAGAATTATCCCGAAGCCCCGGTATCATTCCCGAGACCCGAATCAAGTCCCGAAGCCCCGAAGATCCTGAGAAGTAAAATTTACGAGCCGAAGCTCTGCCCACGAGGAGCCCAATTTTTGTGAAGATCTTCTAGATCTGCCGAAGAATACTACTTCTACAAGCGGTAGTGTTGTTCGATCATCTTTTGATCAATTGAGTGTGTAATTACTTTCTTCTAATACATAAATACGAAGTATTTACTATAAAATATGTGTTATGTGTTTATATATTGGTGTTGATTTGAAGGGGGTACATAATCTCTTTCAAATTCACGATTTTATACAAGTATCGATTTAACGTACTATATTTATGTGTTATGTGAGTGTATCGCTGTTATCTTCTAATCTCATAGATATGATTTATCCTCTATGAAATACGTGTTATGTTTATGTGTCTCATCTTTTATATGGGATGTGTTTTGAATGAACATACTATACAGGTTTTAAATTATGTATAAAAATGTATATTTTATCTACTAACATGTTGGGTAGAACATGGGTAGATAGTTAACTTGTGATAAAAAGATGAGAGGCCTCGATGTTTTCGATTAAGTCATCTAGCGGAGTTTAGATGACGACCACGGACTTTCCTAGACAGTTCTATGGAACGCTAGAAGGCTCGCCACCTGTAGTTGTTAATGAACTTGGGTGTTCATTCATTTTACTCCATCCCCCTCATGGTTTCCTTATTTGACATATATTACTGGGAAACCCCCGAATGCATGTGTCGTCGCCCCGATGAAATATTCTTAGACTAGGTCCCTTGTGTTAGTTGTCTTAGAGATGTAAAGTGAGAATAACGGGAATGAGTAATTGTGTTATTGTGGGTTGGCAGAATTAAATATAATAATTTATTGTGGGTTGAAAACCCTATATGCTCACTAGGCTCTCAAGCCCGACTCATTCAATTTTCTTTGTATTACAGGTAGTGGCGCCAGAGCATAAGTTGGATGACTTGTCAAGTTATTTTTGGATTATAGATCTGTTGTTATATTTAACTGCTGTAAGGTATGTATTGGAATGTTTATGCTTTTGGTTTGTTTATCGGAACATGGCTTCCCGAGTATTGTAATATAATGAAAAATACATTTCTTTAAGAAATGCTTTGGTAAATCTTATTTTTATCATATTTTGTTTTGGGAACAACTTCCGCAACTGTTTTAATCAAAGGATTACTCTGAAATTATTTTTAAAAACATAAATTAAACCGGTCTTTTCTGGCCGTGATTTTGGGGATGTCACAGATATAATCCCAAAACTTCAGATCTACTCTTTGAAACCGACTTAATGGATAAGGTTTCCAACTTTATCCAATACAACTCTATACCAAGGCTAGATGTACAACCATATGTCCACTAAGTCCTTAATAAAGCTATAAATTGAGCATGAACACAAGATACACCAAACATTGTCCTTTTTCTTATTCCATAGATGTCTAATGTCCTAGAAAAGTCGTCACAAGCTCTGGAGTCCTTCAAACTCCAAGAGCATTCAAGGAAGGGACCAAAATCTTACAAAGGACTCAAACTTTCACCAAGAAGAACATAAGTCAATATGAGATCTTTATACCAATAATCACTCAGAAATCTGAAGTAGATGGTGGATCCAAGCTAGTTCCTTGCTCCTTTTCTCCAATATGATCTTCCTTTTTCTTCAATGTCCATTAAATACTAAGAACTAAGCTTTAAACCAAAGAAACAAGCTCTCAAAGCTTCAAGGAGGCTAGGATTTCATTTGGAAGGGATGGAGGCTGAAGAGGACGCCCTAAACTTTGAGTTTAAGAGCCTAAATATGGAGGAAACCCAAAAAGATCAAGGGCTTGGGTTGCAGTCGATGCCACGTCATGGACCTGCTCTTAACACGTCGTGGCAGACACCTTAATATGCATTCATGTATTTGGCATGCCACGATGTGGTGCTCCGTCCGCCACATTGTGACACAAGGTTTTTCTTAAAAACCTTGTCTTTGATCCTTCCAATCTTTCATCTGATTTATCCTGTGAAATGGTTGTTACAATTCTTCCCACTTAAATTAGATTTCGTCCTCAAAATCTATTTTCAGATTTCATTATCGTAACACCCTTCAAATACTCGGTGGGTTCTCCAAACCCGATTCCTTCAAAATGGGTTAAGATCAATTGAATGGAAACATCTACAATCATCGAAAAAAGAATTCCAACACTAGGCTCATAATCTAATCCAAGCAGAGACTCTAAAGATCTGAATCACATCTAATGCAACATTCCTAAGCAGCTGACCACTTTCTGACCATTATACCAACACCATTCTTAGCTAGAAATACATGAATCGACGAAGAACGAACTCCAACATATAGCTACTAACCCACATTGAGAATCATTAACTCACTTGCCCATAACTTGTCAACCCTAAAGTTATACCTAACATCCAGGTAAACAAAGCCACCTTTACGTCGTTAGTGCTGACCAAAACTCATAGGCCTGATTTAACCAAGACCTCTCGTCCTAACCATATAAGGAAATATAACCAACACAATAGCCGACAACGTAAAACCGACGTACCGGTGAAACCCTAAACAAAACCCCAATAGAAAAAGACTACACTAGCCTATACATCCACTATGTCGACTGAAATATGTACATTTGATCGGTCTGAGATCCTTCCGACCACACACCGTCCTACTGGTATGTCGAATATAGAAGCCATGAATGACCTTCGACATCAATAACCTTACATATATAATGCACTAACAAACTTGAATGAAAACCCAATTGACCACATACTAAACTAGGCCATATATCCACTCGGCTCTAACAACCCTGATCTAGTATCTACTGACAACATTTAGGCTTACCCCCAACCTGCCAACCACTGACGGCTCTCGGGCTTACCCCAATCTGCTAACCACTAGCTGTTCTTAGGCTTACCCCCACTCCGCTAACCTCTAGTAGCTCTCGTGCTTACCCCCGATACGCTAACCGCTAACAGCTATCGAGCTTACTCCCGATCCACTAACCAATGAAAAGTCTTGTATATGGAAGGGGTGCAGGTTGAAGATGATGCCCTAAAGCTTGAGTTCATGGGCTTAAATATGGAGGAAAACCTAAAAGATCATGGACTTAGGATGCAGTTGGTGCCACGTCGTGGCAGACACCTGAATATACATTCATGTATTTGGCATGCCATGATGTGGTGCTAAATTTGCCATATCATGGGACAAGGTGTTTCGCAAAAACTTTTCCTTTGATCCTTCGAGGTGTTTAACCGATCTATTTTGGGAAATGGGTGTTACACTATTTACCAAAAAAATATACATGATTTACCCATTAAAATGTGTCTCAATCATTTTCTCTGGCCAATACATCTATTATCACCACAACCATCCACCTCTCACCACCACCATCATTCTCCAACAACAAACATCATTTTCTATCACCTCATTACCGCCACAATCATCCATCTCCACTACCACCACTAAGAAACTAATAAAAAAAATCCTTGAACGAATTTGATTATTGGTCTCATGTGTTTCAAGAGGAAAGGGATGAGAGAAGGATGTTAGGGTATGTTGGTTTCATAAAGTAATAGGAGATGAAGAAAAGCAAGCAAAGATGTGAGGGATGTCAATGATAGTAAAAAAAAGGGTGGTGATGTTTTTACTAGAGATGAGAATGAAGGGTCGTACGCTTTTAGTGTTTTAAAAAATAAATATGTAAAATGTGTTATCTTTCTTCTTTGCTATTGTGTTGGTGGGGAATGATAAGTGAAAAATCGATGATAGTGAGAAAAAATATATATATAAATTAGTTTAATAGTAAATTATATATACAATTATGAAGTTTATCTTGTTTTTGAACATCAAATGTGAAAATGTGAGTTTGATTATATTTTTTGAACATGTAAATAGTCTAGACCTACAATAGTTTGTCAAAACAATATTTTTTGAACAACGAACATGATTATGTAAATTTAATGTGAAATCATTGACACAAACAAAAAATTTATTATAATTTATTACCCTAAAAAAACAATTTTCCTAAAATATTTACCTATTTTAACTTGAGACCTCTTTCAAACATCATGGAACTTAATGAACTTCTACATTTTAACACCTCTTATATTACATTAATGCTTTTGCCTTTGAGAAATAGTTGACAATAACATCCTTGTCGCTCTTATCACCCTGTCTCTTTTACCCTTTAAGACCCTTTGGGCCCCCCATCTCCTTCCCAAATTCGCTTTTACTTTGATTATAAATCACCACTCACCCACCACCGATGGAGGCTGTCTGAGAAGTGACCACTCAGCCCTCCCTACATCCTCTCTCTCTCAATCTCCACTTCAACTCAAATTTACCATTCTACCCTTCCTCTCACTGTAAACCACACACTAGAGACACACTGACAATGGAACTCAGAAGAAGCTGCATTGTGATGTTGTACACTCTGTTAGTAGTAGTGAACATAGCTGAAGAAACTTGTGCATCAATGGCTTTCAAGAATGTAACCCTACAAGGCCAACACCCTTCCCCTGAGCTTGTTGCTCAAGATCTTCAAAGGTACATCTTTTTCTTCACAATGTACCTTATTTACTATGTTTTTTACTTTTTTTTATGCTTAGCTTTCCATATTTCTTTACAAACACTCGGTTTTGTTGAATAAATTGTTTTGTTCATGATTAACGTTTTAAATAGGTCAAATGAGAAGATTCATCTAGAAAATACCCAAAATATAGTTTTTTTTCCACTCAAATTGAACTCTAAATTATTAATAAAACTACATAAAAGGAAGAAAAATGGACTTTTGGTCAACCCATTTATGTTCTCTATCCGTTTTCTCAGGTATTATATTTCTTATTTACTATTGTACCACTTGTTTCTGTTGATGAATAATAGATTCGCATATTTTAACAAACTTATTCTACAGTGTATGGTGTAAAAAAATAGAAAAAAAAACATAACGTTACTAATTATAAAACACTTTTTTATATAGTTTTCCTCCTTTATTTTTTGGATATCCCTTTTTTATAAAGATGAAAGTTTTTTACTGGTGTTTATATTATTATAAAGATCTTGAAAGGTTTTAAATCCAAAAAATATATTTTATACTAACAAGGAAATATAATTTAATTAAACATGTAGTTTTAATGCATAATAAGTTATAATAGCTGATTTAATATGTAAGTTAATAAAAGATTTAGCTAATAAAACCAAATAACTTATAAACAAAAATTACATAATTTGTAAAAAAGAGGATTATGGATGTTTTTCCTTTGAGCCCAGTGCTAATATTATAATAATTAAATTAATATTAGTTTAATTAGCCTACTTTTGACTTTTTCTTTCTTCAAGATATTATGGGGTGGGCCCATGGGCCATGAAACGTGGTCCATGTTTTGGATACTGTGCGCTTTTGCTTTCTATTTTAAACATTTTGTTGTCTAATTTTAATAATTTATATTTAAAATCAATTAATTTCCATTAAATGTGTAAAATAATTGTTTTAATTATAAGAAAAACATAAATGCAGGAGGGTAAATGTGTCAATAACAAGAAGAGAAATGCTATCATACGCCAACGAGGACACAACAACCAACTGCCTCACCGGAAACCCCATCGACGACTGCTGGCGTTGCGACCCCAACTGGCACCTCAACCGCCAACGTCTCGCCGACTGCGGCATCGGCTTCGGCCAATACGCCTTAGGCGGCAAAGGCGGCCGTTACTACGTCGTCACCGACTCCTCCGACCACGACGCCGTCAACCCCCGTCCAGGCACTCTACGGTGGGCTGTCATCCAAACTGAACCCCTCTGGATCGTCTTCCCCACCAACATGCACATCCAACTCTCACAAGAACTCATCTTCAACAGCTTCAAAACCGTCGACGGCCGTGGCGCCAACGTCCACATCACCGGCGGCGGCTGCATTACACTCCAGTACATCACCAACGTCATCATCCATAACATCCACATCCACCATTGTTACGAGTCCGGCAACACCAATGTCCGGTCAAGCCCAACGCATTACGGGTACAGAACAAAATCCGACGGCGATGGGATTTCCATATTCGGGTCTCGTGATCTTTGGATTGATCACTGCTCGTTGTCGCATTGTAAAGACGGGTTGATAGACGCCGTCATGGGGTCCACCGGAATCACCATATCCAACAACTTCTTCTCGCATCACGACGAGGTAATGCTGTTAGGACACAGCGATGATTACTTGCCGGATTCCGGCATGCAGGTGACCATCGCTTTCAATCACTTCGGAGAAAAGTTAGTGCAGAGAATGCCCCGGTGCCGGAGAGGGTATATTCACGTCGTTAACAATGTGTATTCCCGGTGGGAAATGTACGCTATCGGAGGTAGTGGAAATCCGACGATCAACAGTCAAGGAAACCGGTATACTGCTCCGGCGAATCCTAACGCCAAGGAGGTAGACAACTTTTAAAAAAAATTTAATAACAGTGTATGAATTTTTGATGATTCTAACGTCGGAAATTTGATCGGAAAGGTGACGAAGAGGGTGGAAACAGCACAGGAGCATTGGAGAGGGTGGAATTGGAGGAGTGAAGGAGATATTCTGGTGAACGGAGCTTTCTTTGTGGCTTCCGGCGAAGGGTTAGAGCTCAAGTATGAGAAAGCTTACAGTGTCGAGCCTAAATCCGCCGGATTGATCGACCAACTCACCATGAACTCCGGCGTGCTTGGTAGCAGGTTCGACCTCATTTTTCAATTAGTTAACTCTAAATATTTTTTTAAATTTCAAATGAATTTTTAAAAAATAATTATATAAAAACACAAATTACGTATAAGTGAATTAAACAAAATTAACATTGTTACTTTACATTTATCTAACACATACTTTTGACTCTTTTTATTATTATTTTTTTTAGTCTTGTCATTGCTTTTACCTCAATCTTAATTTTCTCTACTATTTCTTTTTCTTAAATGTAATGTATTAATGGGATAGACTAATGATGAATATTTTGAAATTTTATCCAAAGTTACAATTTTAATCCATTAGTTCTCCACCAATCATGCTTCTTTTGTTACCTCAGCACTTAGCAAATTTGATGGTGTATAGGCCATGTGCCTTTTATTCAAAGAAATTTAGCTCCCACAATGTTCTTTAGTAACTCTGTTTAAATAATATGTGTGGGACATGCTAAGTAGGCATTTTGGGGCCAAGAGTATCCACTAGTTTTTCAATGAGTATTTTTAGGTGTCACTATATCAACAAATATAAAATTTAATAAAGGAAAGCTTTATTTATGGATTTTACCAATAAAATTTATAGTGTAAAATAAAGTTAGTACTATAAGTATGAAAAAAACTCTTATCTATTATGTTTGTAAACTTTTAAATAATATAAAAAAGCATCTACAATTTTTTTTGACTTTACATAGGCTTTTGACCAAATAGTCTTTTTAAAAAGATCATATTATGGTTGTTATAAGCTCATGGTTTTAGAAACATACTAGCATCCAACTCTATAAAAGAACATGTTTTAAAAAAGCAAAAGCTTATATTATAAGTTTTTATAAATAAACAAAAGATATGTAATATTATATCTATATAGATTATAGCCACCTAAAGTTGATTTGTCTTTTATGCAACGGGTCCGATATTTGCTTATAAAAGTATGAAATAGGTATTTTTTTTCAATGTCCATAAAGGTTTACATGTTTATTACATACAAACTTTTACAACAATCAAGATGGTGTTCTAAAATACACAATTTATATAATCCAGTTCAATGATAATTATATTATTTTGTGATACATTTAATTAAATATCGAGTTTTGGTGATCAAAACAGGAGCAATAAGCTTGGGAAGTGGACTGATGGGAATGGAGATGCTGAAGTAGGCATAGATGGTGGCGAAAATGACTATGGTGAAGATAGTGATGGCTCCTTTCGACTTAATTCATTTACTTTAATTTCATCTCTTTTTATTGCAATGTTATCGTTCATGATTTCATGCTCAATTTGTGATTCAATCATGTTATTGTGACAACAAAACATTTGGGAAAAAGTTCTCCAAATTGATTTTGAATCTTCAAGAAATTTCAGTTTCTATTTCTCCTTTGATCTCTTTGTGTATATTAATGTGCATATATAATTCGTCAATAATAGTCTTATAAGTTTAATAGTAACATATAATGATATGATAACTTTTGAGTAATTTATTTTGTGTTATACCATATTATTTTATGATAACTTTGACCAAAGAGGTTGTTGCCTAGTTTTATAGGAATTGTTGGAAATATGTCAAATATTGTTTTGGAGAAATGTAGAAGTAAATTTAGGGTAGATTTATATTGAGGAGATTACAAATACAACTATCTAAAAAAATAAAAAATTAACCAAAAAATAAAGATTTTCCACCAATAACAATGCATTTCGTAGGCCACCATACGAAATGATTATTGTCAATGACCCAAAAGGCGTATTTTTAGGCATTTTGCAGTGCGACTGTCTCTATGGATATTTCGCTGGATGTGATCCAGTGTGAAATGGGCCGGATGTGATCCTTTATATTTAAGCTAATTTTTTTATGTGAGAGCTTTATTTATTTATTTTTTTATGAGATAGTTTATATATATATATATATATATATATATATATATATATATATATATATATATATATATATATATATATATAAAACTTTTTTATGATTTAGGAGATATAAAATATCATAAATGGTGTGAACATTTTTTTTTGGAAAGGGAACTTCCTTAACGAGGGTTTCCGGGCCAGCTTTCGCGCACCGACTAATCCCCCGCTGCAAACATGAGGCTTTGCCTCATGCCCTGGAGTCACTGTAGGCGAACCTCCATGGCCACAAGGGCTTAGTAGTGCCAGGATTTGAACATGGGTCAATAAGTTACCCACCATATCTTCCACATGCCTTACCAAATCACCACAACCCAAGTGGTTTAAATGGTGTGAACATTAGTGACCAATCAGACACAAAATGATTACTGCGAAATACACAAAATGATTTTATGGAATTTCAGATTGCAGATAAACATCAGTGACCAATCTGACAATCTCAAAAAAATAGTTATTTTTATCATTTACTTTTAGAAAATTTAGTAAAAGTATTTAACCACAATTTAAACTTTGAAGAAAATAATAATAATAAATTGTTTTTGGTAAAAATAACCATTTAGTCCGGAATGATAATTTCATACTGAGAAAAAAATATTTTTTTTTCTCATAAAAAATACATTTTAGACTAACATTCCAAAATTCCGCACCAAAATTTCAGATTTCGGATTGAAATTTCGGAGTTCGGGAAAAAACTTTGACATTTCAAGAACAAATCCGAAAATAAAAAATTTCGGAATTAAAAAAAGTTGTGTTTCACTTAAGTCCAACAAAAAGTTAAGCAAACATAGTAAATGTGAACTGTATATGATATTAATACATAAACTCAAATATTTTATTGAAAAACAGTGACATTAAACACTTTGAAATTGATTTTGAACATATGTAGAGAGATTTCTTTGAAAAAAAATTCAAGATCAAATCTGGAATGGAGCATTCGAGAGTAAGTATTCTTTTTTTAAAAACTATAAAAAATAATTATTAAAAAAACTTATTTATATTGGTTAGTTTACTCAAATTTCCATTGATTTTTATTTACTTTTTGTATTACACTATAGTTAACTTTGAAGGGAGTGGTGTCAGTCAAATCAAGCTTCATCTCAGCTCCAATAAGAAAAAAAGGGTTAGAAGAATGAAAGAAGAAGAGGAAAGGGTGAGGTTGCCGAGTGGGGAGAATAAATGGGGAAAAAGGGATGAAGAAAGAGACTTGGATTGCCATTGCCGAGTTTGGACTCCAAGCTCGATATGCCGAGTTCACGGACCGGTGTTTGCCGAGTCTACCTCACTCTTGTCGAGACAACTCCGTCTAATCTAATAGTCTTTGACTAAGCCTACAAGTGTAAAAAATTTTAGGCTTCTTAAAGCTCGAGCCTTTATTTCATATCTTATAGTAAAGTAAACTAATGTTGAATAATATTTATTACTTCATTAGATAAACTTAAAACCAATTTTGAATACTTTAAAAACACTTAAAATTTTTAAAAGAGTTATTACATAAAAGCTTTTTTTTTTTTTTCTAAAAAACCCCTTTAAATTTTCTAATTTATTTTTTTGATTTGGTCGGTACAAACCTTTTTGTTTTGACTCATAATATCTATATTTTTCATTTTGTTGTTGTTTACAATGTTTTGATACTTTTCAGTATACAAATCTAAAGAAAACATTTTATTATTTTTTCAAGACTAGGAGAATTAATGTTGTGTCTGATTCTTGTTGGCAAAATGCATATCAAAATCTATTTACAAGGTGGTCTTCTTGTTGGCAAAATGCATATCAAAATCTATTTACAAGGTGATCGTTGATTGTAGCAGGTGAAAACTAACAATCTAAGTTGGTATAATAGACCATTTGGAGTTTGAAAGCTCCCTTTCAGTTTGATATTTAAAACAAAGTAAGATGTTAAACCTACTAAGATCCCCACTCTTCACCTAATACATCTTTGAGCATCCTTTAAATAGATTTTTATATATATTTTGCTAACAAGAATCAAAGATGAAAATTATTATGAATCAAATCACCTATAAGATTGATAATATTTATAACGGGTAAAACATGAAAGCTGGAATTAGAATCCAAACATAAATTAGAGTTTGGAAACCAACATTATGTTTTATATTGAAAAAGAATCTAAGATGAAAAAGTCTGATATATGTTTGGAATCTAAAATAAGCTTTCATGTTTCCTTATCATAATCATTTTCAATCTTAAAGGTGATTTGATCTATAAAAAATCTCATGGTTGATTCTTGTTAGAAAAATACATATTAGAAACTATATCGAACAATTGAAATGACAATAACATGAAAACAAAGGAATTATTAGGCAAAACAAAATAGTTTGCAAAATGTGAGACTTTTGGGGAAAAAAGTTGAGGTTTTCTATCATTTTTTATTGCGTAAAATCGAAATATTACGCATAAACCCGCTAATATATATATATATATATATATATATATATATATATATATATATATATATATATATATATCCCTATTTTAATAAATAAATAGTTTTAATCTCATTGTGACAAGTGTCACTCTAATACAAGTCCTCATTAATATTATATCATGTATCATGTAAATATATTAGGCAACAATTTCAAAATTCAAATTTATATTTTCTAATTATATGTTAAATTTGAAGTTATAATAACTTTAAAAAATTGATATATCTCTTAATTAATAATTTATTTAAAATCATTTATTTAAAACAATTAATTAATAATTATATATTTTTATTTTGAAAGTTTAATTAATTTTATAACCGTGATTTCCACGGGTTATAAACTAGTATATATATATATGATTTTTTTAAAAAAAATTGTTTAATCCGTAAATTTTTTAATATATAGGGTCATGTAATTTACCCTTTTTTCAAACTTGCAAATGGGGTTGTGTCACACCCTCGGTCGGCGATGGAAACGTCGGACTGTACACTTAGAAATAGGTGGATCCGAAAACAAGTATATTTAACGGTACATGGAAATATAACACAAATACTTCTTTTATTCATTATTGCTAAAGGGTTAAATTGTTGGATCTCCAAACACACTCCCTAAACATAAACTAAACAATAGGAAAACAAATAAAACTTCCATGAGCTACGTGACAACTTCCTTCAACACTCTACTTCCGGTGCTACTCTTTTTCCTGATGATACATGAATTTTGAAAACGTTAACAAAATATTGGTGAGTTCATAGGTTTTTAAGGTTTTTTACTTTTTAGAGTAGTTTTATCATCTTTTAAAAACGTTTCTTTCTTTGTATCTTGTTTTCCCTAGGATAACTTATTCTTTTAGTATGTATCCTATAACCTTTTATATATATATATATATATATATATATATATATATATATATATATATATATATATATATATATATATATATATATATATATATTTATATTAATTAAAGTTGATGAGCACTGTTACAATGAGTCCCTATAATCGAGCTATGACTTGAAATTTCCCCGCTACAACGTTTCATAGGACATCATGAAAAGACTATAAAGTTATGTGTGTGGGGGTTGTAGCTAGCTACCACAGGTGGGAATATCAATCTCGTATAAATCTAGACATACCTATACCCCTCACTTAATATTAACGATTATAGGTCCGGGGTTAGTTGAATATTAATGGGCTAAAGGATGAATATTATGTCTCATTTAACACTTGCTTTAAAAAACCTTTAAAGTATGATTTTTTATTCGTATTGTTCTTTTCTTTGGTTTTCCTTTAATATAATTTCCTTACATAATTATTCATATATATATATATATATATATATATATATATATATATATATATATAACCTTATATACAATAATTATCTTTATATTGATATTCTTTGATAGGATATTAGAGCATGGTATAGTTGAGTACATTGTTTATACTTAAGTTTTCTTTTAACATAGTTTTATTCTATAATTATTTTGATAGGTATATATATGTTTAGTCATATACATAAAATAATTATATTTTTGATAAAATAAAATATTATGGTTATATTTGGACAGCATATCCACTAGTTATAATCCTCTAGTATAATCTTAAGTATTATAACGACCAGGCATAATATTATTCTTAATGTTTAGAAAGGATAACAACCGGATATAATATTATCTTAACGTTGCATTTATTTTAAAACTATTGGTAAATTACAAGTAATAATAATTTGTAAAATCATTGAAATAGTTTTATCATCTTTTAAAGGTGTTTCTATTCTTTGTGTTTTGTTTTCCCTAGGATAACTTATTCTTTTAGTATTTATCCTATAACCTTTTTTTTTTTTTATATTTATATTCCTTTTTATTATATTTTCATACTTTGATTACTTCCTAGGTATTCTCTTCTTGGTAGTATAATTAATTAAAGCTGATGAGCACTGTTACAATGAGTCTCTATAATCGAGCTATGACTTGAAATTTCCCCGCTACAACGTTTCATAGGACATCATGAAAAGACTATAAAGTTATGTGTGTGGGGGTTGTAGCTAGCTACCGCATGTGGGAATATCAATCTCATATAAATCTATACATACCTATACCCCTCACTTAATATTAACGATTATTAATGGGTTAAAAGATGAATATTATGTCTCATTTAACACTTGCTTTAATAAACCTTTAAAGTATGATTATTTATCTGTATTGTTCTTTTCTTTGGTTTTCCTTTAATATAAATATAATTTCCTTTTATATATATATATATATATATATATATATATATATATATATATATATATATATATATATATATATATACTTAAGCTTATATACAATAATTATCTGTATATTGATATTCTTTGATGGGATATTAGGGCATGACACACTTGACTACATTGTTTATACTTAAGTTTTCTTTTAACATAGTTTTATTCTATAATTATTTTGATACGTATATATATGTTTAGTCATATACATAAAATAATTATATTTTTGATAAAATAAAATATTATGGTTATATTTGGATAGCATAACCACTAGTTATAATCCTCTAGTATAATCTTAGGTATCATAACGATCAGGCATAATATTATTCTTAATGTTTAGGAAGGATAACAACCGGATATAATATTATCTTAACGTTGCATTTATTTTAAAACTATTGGTAAATTACAAGTAATAATAATTTGTAAAATCATTGAAATAGTTTTATAGTATGTATTCCCCACCCCCCCCTCCCCCACAATAAAACATTTGAAAACAATAAAAATAGGGTTGTGAACTCACTCTAATAGCGTGATTCTTTGATGTAGGGTAGATTAGGGCTTGGGACTTCGAAGATCGCCTCGGGATGGAATGACTTCAATCAGAGAGTGAGAGAGAAATTGCTTGGAAGGTGTGAATATGGGGTCGGCAAAAACTTCTATTTATAGCCGAGTTTTTTGTGTGCGTGCAACGCAAATATCTGTGTGTGTGACACATAAGCATCGTGGCTTCATCTAGGAGTCGCCACATATCACTCTCTCGCTGGGCCACATCACCCGCAATCTTCGCGAATCTGGAGGTCAGAATGCACGTCGGGCATGTCGTGCACCTCGCGTGTTCAAAGATGATTTTGGAAAAATCATATCTTTTGCGTACGAACTCTAATTTTTACCCTCTTTATATCTATGCGATGGTCTCAACGAGTGCTACAACTTTCCTTTAAGTTATTTTGACTTTCACCTTTTGGTCTTACGAGGTATAATTAAATGATGTTTTAAAAATCATATCTTCTTCATACAGACTCCGTTTTCAGCGTTTTTTTATCTTGATGTTTTCTCCTTGAGAGGTAGTACGAGTTCCCTTTTGGTGACACTAGCCAAAACTTGACCGATTTCTTAATCCTATTTTGACGTTAATAACTTTAATTACGTGGTTGATTTTACTTTTTATAAAAATCGTAACTCCTACAATCGAAGTTCGATTTTTACGAAGTTTATATCTCTAGAATCACATCGTCATGTACTTTCCGAATATATTAACGAATTTAGTGGATGATACGACTTTTTTGGACACTCATTTTTGAGCCTATTAGTCGATTTATCTATATATGTAAAAGTATATCCAATCATATTTATTTGTAAAAATGAAATATTATTACATTGATGTTCTATTATTTTTATTTATCTATGTTAATTTTTAACGGTGATTAGTGACAAACTTTTCTGAGTCGACACAATTGCTTGGTTCCCAATTTTAAAATCCATCCAACAATTAGTCAAGTTTTCTTGCACAAACTTTAACCACTTAACCTTTCTTTAATTTGTCTTTACATTAAACTTTTATGAACCAGTCACCGTAAGGCCTAACTCTATAAATCAGTTAAGGGAAGATGGTGCAACCACGTGTATTCGAATACCCAAATTTTATATAAACAACTCGGAGTGGTGGTATATATAAGTACGACAATATCTAATGATCGTCAAAGACTCTTTTCATGACATTTCTTAATCAAAGTTTGCTTTTATTTAAACAAGTGAAGTTTATTACTTTGTGTCGAAGAAAAAGTGAGTATGTATAGTGGGAGAGGATGTAAAGCCACCATTATATCATGCATAATGAATCCTTAAATGGAAAGACAAGTACAAAGCTTTTTACATTATTTTCCAGCGACAAAAGGAACCCAGTATCTTACCACCATTGTACGACAACTAGCTTTTGATCTCAAAGATTCAAGCCAATTGAATTCTAATTTTAGTTTTAATAAGAGTTCACTTTATAGTTATATAAATTCATTATTTAACTTTCGAAGGTTCAATAGGATGTTTTTCAAAAGGTAATGTAAAGTAAACTAGTTTTGATAGAGCTAGCAAAACTTGTGTTGCATGTGGCGCCATTTCTTTCAAGCTGCGATACTATTAAGAGCTGTTCAATAATTAAACTCAAATGAAGGCTGATAAAAGTTAAAGATGATATAAAGAACAAGTTATGATTATAAAGCAATAAAAACCAAAAGTGAGCTGAAATTAAAAAGGAACAGGATGCTTACTTTTTGTGGCAAAAACCTTTGCAAAAATGTAATTCTTTGTGGTCTACCTGTTCCACCCTACATATGAAATTTAAGGACGGCCATTTTACATAAACCAAAGACTCGCAAAATTACTACCCTTTAAGATACAGTTTTCTTATGCAATATGCCACTTCACAATATCTTCAAGACTTGTTTTATATAGAATAAGAAAAAAAAAGGTATATCTAAAGTTGTGTTATGTCAACTTTATATCCAAGTAACCTTGAAAAGAATAGTGTATAATTTCCTGTTGGATAAGAAGTGCTGTTTTAAAGTTATGATTCCCTTCATATTTTATGTGAGTGAAAGCATATAAAAGGTTTTCATGACAAGACTTCTACAGACACATGTTAGATTTTAGAATGATGATTTCAAGTAGATTTTGTATCTCCTACCTTTAGACAAAGTAGCTTCTTCCAAATACATTTATGTTATCAACTTCACCTGACCAAACTCCATGACATACTATATGCTTCAAGTTTTATATCGCTTGACACTTGGAATCCTCTTATAAGATGGAGAGAGAGAGAGAGAGAGAGAGAGAGAGAGAGAGAGAGAGAGAGAGAGAGAGAGAGAGAGAGAGAGAGAGAGAGAGAGAGAGAGAGATCATATTCAAACCTTTTTTATTTTTCCACCACATTCAAACCTTCTTAATTTAACTATCCTAACATTTTTATTTTCCATCTTATTCAAAACTTCATCTTTAAAAAATGGCTTGTGTTTGGACAACAGATGAAGAGATCATATTAGCTAGTTCATGGATCGATGTAACTAAAGAGTCAATCAACATCAACACCGATACACCTAATTTCTGGAGGAGAGTCGTCCAAAGATACAATCGCGAAGCCATTCTACCTCGAGGTAAATATCAACTTTTCTCAAAATGGAGAAATACAAACATAGTTGTAGTGCAATTTCACACTGTGTTTATTAAGGTGGGGTATGAAGCAGTGAATGATGAAAATGAAGGAATTTTGTTGGTGAATGCTCTTGAAGCTTTCCGTGAAGAAACTAATAAACCTTTCCAATTTATTGAGTTTTGGCAAGTTGTTTGGTGGTGTGACAAATGGCATCAACATGTCGAATGAACTTGTGTTTTGTTTTATTTTATTTTGAAGTTTCTTTTAGTGTTTCATATGTTTTAATTTCTAGTGTCTTGTGTATTGTAACTTTAAGTTCGATGTCTTTTTAATTTCAAGTGTATTGGTTCATGGTATTTTAATGAAAATTTAAGTTTTATATATTAATTTTTATATAAAATATTTTATGTTAAAAAAAGTGATACATGGAACAAATGGCAACCTACCCCTCCAGATATGGCAAGAGGTTTGGCAAGATGTTGAAGAGGTGTGACAAAAATATAAGATTAAGGTCTCTAAGCTCATAACTAAATTTGTATATTATTATTATTAGAAACAAAATCATTTTTGGGTTTCCTTTATAACTAGAACCTGGTTAGAATGATATTTATAGAGAGAAGATAAATTTATTAGTTTTTTATATGATTAATAAATTGCAATGAATGATTTGTTAATATATTATATGATTAATATATTAACTGGAAATAGATAGTTGATTTGTTAATTTATATGATTAATAAATTAATATGAAATCAATTAAAATTGATCAATTATTAATCAGAATTAATTTGAAATTAATTCGAGATTATTTTGAATTAATTAAAAGTGCAAAGATTGAGTTGTAATTGTTGAATAGTTGAACAAATGAGAGGATCTGGAAACCTCCATGATATGGACAGTTTTGAGGACCCTATTAGGGTTTCTAAAAGCCTATAAATGATAATTAAGAAACTATATAATTGTCTGATTTGAAATATTATTATTATATATCCAAATTTAGGGTTTCTAGGCTTTCCTGACAACTATAAATAGGACCCTTGGGTCAACTAATGTCGTGCACTTCCTTACCTAGAGAATTCTGATTTCTCATTGCTTTTCCTCCCTCATCTCTTGTCTTCTAGTTGTAGGGTTTTGATGTGATACATTAGAGGCATCATCCTTTTGGTGCTAAGCTTTCAAAGACCAACAACTACAAAGGATTGAAGTGATTTGTTTACTACAACAAATCAAATGTATGTAACCCATTCCATGATTTCAAATATATTAGGGTTCAAGTTAGTTTTGTTGTTCATAGTATGTTGTCTTCAAAGTGTTATAACATAGATCCTTATAGGTTACATGTGCCATCTTAATTATTAGACAAAACTACAAAAAATGGACACTGTGGTATGCATTTTTTCTTAAGTTTGGTCCAATACTCGACTTTTTTGGATTATGGTCTCTTTGAGCTCGTTTCGTTGTGTATTTGGACCCTCTAAAAACTAAAATGACTATAATATCCTTGGTGTATTTTTTACATTTTTTTCATTTTCTTAAAAAATTAATACATATATATTTATTTTAATAATTAAAAGGGAGGACCCACCTCTTCCTCCCCCCCCCACCTCTCTCTCTCTCTCAAACACATACGATCGTGTTCATCAAAACTTTTGTCTAATCTTCACCTTCTTCATCTAAACTCAAGTCATCTCCATCAGCTCTCCCTCTTCAGACCCCCTGCACATCTGGATTTCAGACAACACTAAAATCGAGGTCTCTCATCTCTCCAAACTCTTTCGTCACTTTATATGTTTGAAACAATGAGGTTGTAACGAAAACCATATCAAGAACACAGATAGATCTATCTGAGTAGACCCATAATAAGGATAAGCAGTTGGAAGATAAGAAAACTCTATGTATTCATGTTGATCGATGTAACTCAAATTGTCATACCATTGTTGATGTAGAGGCAACGAACCACCATTCTCGGAGTGTAAATGGAGAGGTTCATCTTCGTTGTTGGAATCATCATCTAAATCGGTATGGAAATAAAGATGAGATGAACCGAAATTCAAATGAAAATGACATTGTGTAACCACCCGAGCTAAGGTAACAGTCGGAGCTGGGAGTCCAAAAGAATCTCCCTTCCTTTGATCAGGAAAGGTTAACACCAGAGATGAATGACCATCGCCACCGCATGCGGAGGTGTACTTCAAATCAAAAAAATGGTGGAGCGAATCAACTACGAATTTTAGGGAACTAAAGTAAGCTAAATGGGCTTCAATGAGAGCATAACATTGGTGAATTGCATCATCAAAAAACTGACATCCTTTCCGACACAAGGCCACCGTCGGCGAATCATCAGGCTTGGAACCCACACAACCCATAAAATTATTGGATTCTTGACCAAATGGAATTAAAAAATCATTACAAAAGTGAAAAAAAAATCAAGGACTTTAGCTATTGGAATCAAATGGTAAATCAAGAATAACCTAGCGAAATGAATTTAGGGATTTGAAGAGTGATATAAGGAATCTATGATAGTCGGGAGTATATCGTCGGTTTATATATATATATATATATATATATATATATATATATATATATATATATATATATATATATATATATATATAGAGAGAGAGAGAGAGAGAGAAAGAGAGAGAGAGAGGGACCATAATTAAATTTAATAAAACATTAAATTAAATAAAAAACTATAAAAGTATCAAAAGGGAAATTTAGTCTTTTCAGTTTTCCAGAGGACCAAAAATGCAACGAAACTAGCTCAGAAGGACCACATAACCAAAAGAGTCGAGGTTTGGACTGAACCTCGGAAAAATACATACCACAGGGACCATTTTTGTAGTTTTATCTTATTGTTAAGTGTTTTTCCTCATTTTACATGTATTTATAACCTATAATACCCTTTAAAAAAATAAGGTGGTGCCTTTATGCAAACACTTTTAGTGTGGCAAGTGTGGCACCAGTCCCTATAACATCCCAAAAATACTAAGCAAAATTTTTGTCTAAAATCAACCAAACCATCAACCATATATTTCAAAAACCAGTAAGTATGTTATAGAAGAAAATAGTTATCATAGTACAATCCCAAAATCATAAAATATCATACATAAGTGGATGCGATGCTATCATGTCGGGCCCTTCCATTTTGAATCAGAAGTACCTGAAATTCATTTAAACATAAATCGTAAGCACAAAGCGTAATGAGTTTCCCCAAAATACCATATATCATACATCATACATGCATATCATACTAAAGCATATAACGGGTGTATTTCACCCTTGAGTGCTTTCCGACTCTTTGAGATCCTTCCGACTCGCCGAGTCCCTTCTGACTCGTCGGATCCCTTCTGAATCCTTCGGTATCTTTCAACCGGTAGGGGTCTATTTCACCCCTACAGGTAACCATACAATCATACTAGGAAGAGTCACAAAGACATCAAGCACATACAAGCATATCAGTAAGTGTCAAAAAGACCACTACTATCCTACAACATAATCTAGTGGGTTGGAATTGGTGCCTTCGGCCCACAAGTACAGTGAGGAGACTAGCCTCAAGATGATGATAAATAAACCACACTCTCGGCCTGCTGCTACCACGACTCCTCACACTGAACATATCCAAAATCAACTCTAATTACTAATCAGGGTAATAACCCATAAATAATGGTCCAGATTACATTCCATCATGCCAAGGATAAAGGACCATTTTACCCTTCCCCTAATTGACCCATCTAACCATGGCCTAAACCCATCATAACCTATGGCCCAAAAATGGCCCAAAATGCCTTCTGGTGAGTATGCCAAACATACCACCCCATTACACCCTGGTTACTAGTCTAACAGAGAAGGGAAATCGAGGTTGTTAACGTATCCCTATGGGAATACGCCAAAGATAACAGGATGATTATCCATTAGACAGCCTAGCTATCGGTTATTACCCGGTCTAAGCGCCAGGTTCGGACCTTCACCCTTGCGGTCTCGTGCTTAGGCCCCGATGTTATAACACCAAGGCCTATAACAGGCCAAAATATACCAGATTGCTCCCTAGAATGACAAGTGTAGCACTCAGAGCGACGTTTCTTAGTAAGTCTGCACCAATAGCGGATAACCACTAGTGGTGCACGACTCACCAATACGACGCATCCACGTCCTAAACAGTCCAAACAAGGCAGAAGGTGCTATCGGGTACATGCTCCCTGGGCAACAGGTATAAAAGGACCCTTCTTCTCCGGAAGAAGGGTACACTTACTGACTAGACCATTAGTGTCTCATTCCAGGATCCCCTCTCGGACGACGACTAACGTCGGCTCTTTCTTTGTTGTGATTCTTAGGCTTAACCAGACGACGCGATCCACCGATGGTGTTAAGCCCGGAGCCATATCACAATAGGTGCTGAACACATTAAGCTGAGCGTACCTAGAGGGTACGCCCAACTTACTCCCCTGATGCCTAAAATTCATATTAAGCACTTAATACCTAAAGTCTAATTGTCCAAATCACAGATCTAGCTCTTGGGAATGTCTTAACTGCTAAAGTTGACAACTTGATGCCTTTTCATGGCTCAAAGAAGCCCAAAACCAAATTTAAACCTTCTAACTTCATATTAAGAACAATAACTCATTCATGGATGAACCAAAGTCATCAAGATACGATTTTTATGCACTAGGGACCTCAGAAACATCAAGGAATTCTAACCTAGGCTTTTGGAGTAGTTGTTAATAACAAGAATCAACCCATGGGACCAAAATATGCCAAAACCCTAAGGTAAACTAGATCTAAGAAATGAACCATCAAGTTTGAGACTTTATACCTCCAGAATGATGATCAAGATGAACAAGGTTTGGAACAAAAAACTTCAAACCGACCAATACTCGTCTAATAAGATCCTTATTCTTCAATATGTACCAAAAACACAGCAAATCACCCAAAGAGCTCAAAATCTCAGAAATGGGGGCTAGGGTTTCGAGGGGACTACTTTAGGATAATAGAGGTTGGTGATGAGAGAGGCTTTGAGTTCATAAGGTGTTTAAATAAGGTCCACACCCTAAAAATTAGGGTTTTACATTTTGCATGAGTACATCCAATGTACCCATACGCACACCTAATGTACACGAAGGAACGTGCGATCACTTTAAATGACCTACAACCGACGTACCTATCATGTACTCCAAACGTAGGGACTGATTTTGAAAAGTTTTAAAAAATCAAGCCCAAAATATAAAGTACCTGGAACACGTGTGTTACACTTCTCCCCTACTTAAATAAAACTTCATCCTCGAAGTTCGCCTCTACAAACATCTCTGGATAATCCTCTCTTATCTCCTCTTCATGCTCCCATGTACACTCCAAGCCTTTCTGGTGCTGCTAATGCACCTTCACCAAACCCACTTCCTTGTTTCTTAGTGTCTTTGTCTTTCTATCGAGGATCACAATCGGTCTCTCAATGTAGTTCAGGCACTCATCCACCTGAATATCCTCCAATAGGACTGTAACACCCAAAGTTTGGAAAGCCAAGAAAAGAAAGAAAACCCCAATTTTAAGGGGAGAATCGACGAGTCCAAGGAGGGACTCGGCGAGTCCGAGTGGGATCCGGGTCGAGGTGTAAGCGACCGACTCAGCGAGTCGGCCAAGGTGACTCGGCGAGTCTGGTCTGAACGAGGAAAACCCTAAAATCGGGACTTGGAGCTTATTTAAACGCCTCATTCTCTTCCCTAAGGTTCCTTTAGTGCCTCTTTCAACCAGAACACTAATCCCTAGCCGCCATAATCGTTTTGGAGCAAGATCTACCCTTGGTGAAGCTTTTTGGAGCTTGAGAAAGAAGATAGTCATAGTGGAGCAAGAAGGGAGCCTTGGATCCAGAGTTGGTGGAACATTTTTGAGCATTTAAAGGTAATAAATCGTTACCTTCCCTATTTTGCTTAATAGATCAACCTTGGCTATGAGATTTGGAGCTTTTAGGCCATGCTTAAGAGCTATTTCGAGTTAGAAGCCCAAATCTGAAGTTGCTACTTCAGATCTGAGTGTATCTTGGCCTAGAAAGTCATAAAGCATCTGTTTTTGGGTTGATAGTGAAGCCTCTTTGTCTTAAACCCTAGTTTGGATTGTTTTAAGCTTAGATCTCTTGATCTACACGTAAAGTTTGCCACTTTACGTGAGGGATAGGACTTAGAAGTATGGATATATGCGTTGGAAGCCCTGTTTGGATCGAAAAGCCACTGCATGGATTAAGGACTGAATAGACTCATCGAGTCCTTTGAGTGGACTCGGCAAGTAGTATGAAGATGGAGATGAACTCGACGAGTTGGATGAACAACTCGGCGAGTCTGTTGAAGATTTCCTTGGACTCGGCGAGTCTATTCTTAGACTCGACGAGTCAAGTTGCGAAACCCCAAACCCTTCGAGTCAAGGCTCAGATTAGTGAGTTGAGTGGGGACTCAGTGAGTTGGACAGGACAGAACTCGGAAATCAGTGAACTCGGTGAGTCAGTAGACTGACTCGGCGAGTAGGGTCAACATGGAAGGTTGACTTTGGCCATGACTTTGACTTTGATCGGAGTTGAGTTAGTTGACTTTTAGAGGACTGTTAGGCTAAGTGTCGCTTTGTTATTGGTAGCTCGGAGAGTTAGAGGAGCAGCGTTCCAGACGGTGGTTGGTTAGCAGTCCGAGAGTTACCAGCAGAATTCAGCAGTTCAAGTGAGTTTCCTTTCAGTAGGAACGGGTCTAAGGCCACAATGCCGGCCCGTTTAGCTAGTAGTAGTTTCCAGACTTCGGTCCGACGCATATTTTAGTATGTTTGATGCCTTCGTGGCTCAGACAGGATTTATGTGTTATGTGTTATGTGTTATGTGTTCCAGGCTACGACCCGATGCAGTATGCAGGATATGTGTTCATACTAGTTGATATGTTATGCTATGCTATGTTCAGTTAGTTTCCGGACTTCGGTCCGATGCAGGGGGCAAGGCCCCAGTTAGTCCGAACTTCGGTCCGATGCAGGGGACAAGGTCCCAGTCAGTTAGTCCGGACTTCGGTCCAATGCAGGGGACAAGGTCCCAGTCAGTTAGTCCGGACTTCGGTCTAATGCAGGGGACAAGGTCCCAGTCAGTTTCCGGACTTCGGTCTGATGCAGGGGGCAAGGCCCCAGTTAGTCCGGACCTCAGTCCGATGCAGTGGGCAAGGCCCAGTATGTGCTTTATTTGTTATTGTATGGTATGTGGTAGTTTGGGGGAGCTCACTAAGCTTCGTGCTTACAGTTTTAGTTTTTGGTTTCAGGTACTTAGTTTTCAAAAGAGGAGCTCGGAAAGATTGCAGTGCACACACCATAGTCAGCTAGCCTGGGATGTTTTACTCTGATAATAAGTTTGTAT